TTATTGCTATACAATTAATCCCCCTCTGCACACAAATCCTTATTATCATTGTATAAAGTTCACAATCGTGTAACATTTATTTAATTTAATAGACTGACCAGTGGCGAGTGTTCAAAGAAAATATTGACAGGTGCATTATGCAATTATTCCCAGAATAGAACGTGTGCCTTGAAACTAGAACATGAGTTGACAAATGTGTATGTGTGTGTTTTGTATACTTTCAAAAGAATATTATGTAAATACATAAAGGAGCTGAATATCACTTATTATCTTAAAAGCATTTAAGGAATGCAGAAAGGATTATACTTATAATTTGTTTTTTTTTCGAAAAGGTGAACGAGGCAAAACACATTTGCCGATATTTTGAATAAGTAACAAGAAGTATGTATATCGAATTTGACATTTACGTCGGAGAGCAAGTTAATTAATAGAAGGAAACAAACTACAGAGATTAATAAGGTGTACAAAATTGTTGACGACCTACCAAATGTACACTAAAAAACAAAAAACGACTAACGTCATTTCGGACACTTTTAGCTACAAACACAGACGTTTTTTACGTAAATTCTGTCAATCACAGTAGACCTACTGATGAAGGTCTACATAAATAGTGTCTTCTGTAAATAATACAGATATTTTATAAATATTAATATACAAAATTAGGCAACGAAATCTTGAACTCCAAAATTATTTCACCCCATAAATCATTTATTGAATTGTCAACGCGCATAATGAAAAATACATAACTGTAGTAATAAATATCACAGATGTAACCAAATAATAAATTAAAAATTTGCAATAATCGGACAATTGCGTGAAATTTACAACGGGCAACATTTGTAATTAAATTAGCTCAATCGAAATGTAAAGGCATTGGGGACGGATGATTGCGTTTTGCAATTATAGCTCTTATAATTTAATTGTAAGTAGGGGTCTAGAAATCTCGGAGCGAATAAAAGTACGATTTTATAAAGAAAAGTTTCAATAGTAAAACTAATTTTGAAATGCCTGTGCTTGATCACTTAATCCTAACCAGACTCTACTCCTTAACAAAATTGGTCTGGGTAACTTCGTATATATAATAACTAGCGAACCGCCCCGGCTTCGTACGGGTGCAATGCTGATACTAAATACACTAAAGAAAAACTGTGAAAGTTGTATATAAAAACATAGTGGCCCGCTCCGGTTTCGCACGGGTATAAAATATATAGCCTATGTCACTCTCTGAAAAAATGATTAAAATCGATCCAGTAGATATTTTGATAAATCTCGTAGGGTTCAGCCTGCGTTTGCAATGTAAGCGGAAAAAATGTAATTATTTTCGACATCGCATTAGATACCTCAGAAATAACAGTATTTCACCACTATTTATTGGATGTTATTCTACATATAAACCTTCCTCGTCAATCACTCTATCTATTAAAAGAAACCGCATCAAAATCCGTTGCGTAGTTTTAAAGATTTAAGCATACATAGGGATATAGGGACAAAGAAAGCGGCTTTGTTTTATACTATGTAGTGATTAACTTAATATACGAGTATTAAATAAAAGTGTGTCATTATAATCAGATTTTTTATTATGCCTCAACGAGAATATGCGTTAACTAATTTAGTGTGTTAAGTACACTTTTTTTGATGAAATTAATTTCAATGCAATATTTATACGCATTATACTTACTGCGATTGTAATCTTGATTTTGTTTTACACAAATTAAATAGATCTTTTATATATTAGACATATTATATAAACCGTTATCACGCACTGAAAATCACGCCTAAATTCGAGGCGTTTAATATAATAATAATAATAAGGCTTATTGGTAGTTAGTAGTATAGATAGTTGGTAGTTGCTATTATTACAGTAACCAAAAATATTGATTTTGTTAGTAGGTTAGCTTAGATTATGTTAGTAATAAATAGATTATTTATTTATGAATTAATAGGAACCCCGGTTTGGGTAAAGGCCTCCTCCAAAGATGCCCATTTTTGTCGGTCTTGTGCTATGGAGTGCCAGTTTATGCTAGTTGATCTTTTCAGTTCATCTTTCCAGCGGTCTAAAGCCGGGTTTCCACCGCTAGCGGAACGGACCCATTAAGGACTCGGTCTAACTCGCAAGAGTAAACTGCATACTTGTATTCCCACCAACAAATAGTCGGGCGGAAAGGACTGAGCGAGCAGAAAGAGTTGAAAGGAACTCGCTCAGTTCTAGGGAGCGGAGCGGAGTAATTACGGAGTCCGTTGAACTCGCAGTGACAAATTACATAGTAGCGTTTCCAGAAAGTGCTGAGCGGGGCGGATCGAACGAGTAAAAAGTGATTGAAACGAGTCCGCTGTGGCAAGGTCTCGCCGACTAGTTTGAAACGGACTCGCTCGCTGTTTCCATCACCCGCGCTCTTAAATTTAAATTAAATTAATATTTAATTATTTATTAAATTTAAATTAAATTAATATTATTTATTAAATTTAAATTTATTAATTTATTTTAATTAATTATTAAATTTAAAATAAAATTATTTTTTTTAATTTAATTTTTATTTTTAATTAAATAATTTTTCATCGTCTAAATCGTAGAATAGCCTATATTCCCCTTTCAATGTTCTTTCTCGAATGTGCTGGAATAACCAAAATCTCCGTCTTGCAGGTTTTTTTCTATGTTTAAGATACAATAATATGTACTTTTTCTTTTTGTATACATAATCACTGTCTTCACTTGATCCCGTGTCACTCAACAAAATCGCAAATTCGCAACAAAACAGAAAGTCTCCCCTTCCGCCTCTTGCCTGGTAGTCCTTTCCATTGGGTAACTCGTTTGGTCCACTTTCTGCTAGACATTCTTGTTTATTATAAGTATATTTAAATCATAAAATTATGATATGATTTTACCTGATTTAACCATATATATAAATAACAACCATTAATGCTAGACATTTTAATAAAAGGGATTAGTATTATTCTGCATAATATGATCTGATTGTTGACAGGCGTGAGGTTGAATATTAATAGATTTTAATTGTCACAAAACGTGAAATTCACCCGACAAACAAGTGACGAACCGCGGACGGCCGGAACAAATTGAAGATTTAAATTTCGAATCAAATAATTAGTCACTTGTTGTTGGCAATAAAATACGGTATGATTTTTTTACAGTTTATTATAAAGTTTTGCTATTAAAAATAAATTTGATAACTATTACCCTTAGATAAATAAAAAATAAAAGTGCGTGCGTACAAATTGCACATTAAGCACTTCTTTGGCAAACTAATTTTTAAGTTATGTTCATATTTATGCAATTGTCATTAAAATATTAAAAGTGTCGAAAATTAATTAGGTAATATATTATAGGTATAAATGTAATTTTTTTAATTTATTTCTACGATAATAAAAACACGTGGCATTTTAATTTACAATTCGTCATTTGAGATTTCAATTAATTATTTTGCATAATATATAAAATACTAATATTTCATAAATTCTCTTTATGAAATTTTAATTTTAAGAATAGAATTTCTACAAATTAATTCACCCCTCAATCGGTCTCAATCGCTCTCTCCCTTTTCTTCGACAAAAACGCTGCACATCTTCGTGACGTTTCACCCGTAAAAAATACCCTCATGCGCCTAAAGAAGTTTCATTTCAATAAATAAATATTTAAAAATATAAATAAATGACTCAGGATCTGCATAAAAGTGACGCCGTACTTTTCCGACGGATCGCCCAGAAGTCACCCGTGTGAGCCAGGGCATATAAACGCGCGGCACTGCAGAAGAGATGCAGTCCCAACAGTATCCTAACGGCTATGCTATCCTAGTATATTGAATGTGCAAGGCCTTTAGCGACCTGCTTCTGCTCTATTCTTGAAGGATCCTAATTCAAATTGGTTCGGAAATACTTCAGTTTTGGCAATAAGCCTTAAAAAGGGTGATTTTTACTAGAATATAACATGCTTCGGTTTAATATCAAGATTGTTCTTGAAGTCAGATATGCTGCACAAACCATCAGCATCCTCTGGACTACCTCAGGCCGACGCCCATGTCATCAGCATAGCTAACACTATTAATACCTACTTTAATGACACCGATACTGCAGCCAACAGGAAGACTGAGCAAATAAGTCATTTATATATAGGTAAAGAGTTGGAGACCAAATTTCGCCTTGCCTCGTGCTGGCCCACTTCTCCGTATTGTTCTGGTATACCAATACTTACATAAATTTTGTCTAGTTTTTCTAGTAGATCTGTGACAGTTATTGTTTTCCTTTGGAACACAACCAAGTATGTATAGGCTAAAACATTCGAATTTTAATTTCAAGAGATTGTTTTTCATATTTTTATTAATGATTTACTATTAAAAAATGCGAACAAGGTCAGATTTAGTTTTAAATAACTTTAAGCTTTCAAATTGCAATTAATAAAAAGAACATTTTTATTTATGCAGAGCATAAAAACAATTAAAGTTAATACTTTAATTATTGTCTTTAGTTCAAGTTTCTAAGTTTCTAGTTCTGGTGACTCTTTAATTTAAGCCTCAACACTCATATTGCGACATCTATCTTATACGATGTATAAGTGCAATAATTGCGTTACAGAAAAATGAGATGGCACTGATATCAATACAAATACAGTTTTTTCTTATACGTTTTATACACAAGGTTTTGTGTTAAATATTATGTTAAAAAATTGTGTCTTTAAATCAAAGTAATTTAAGACATATAATAACAATGAAATATTGTTGTTATATTGTTATGTAATGAGCCTATCAGCCTAGGTTTGTCAAAAACTGTCACGTTTGACAGCGACGTTAATCGATTTAAACTTGAGTTGACTCGTATTAATTTGAACTTCAATCAAAACGCGAAATACGAATTTTTTATTGATTTCTTCATTCTTCGTGAGATTTATAGTGTAAATAATAACTTTTCGTTCATTTTTTCTGAGTATAACAAACCATTTTGAAGTCAAATACTATTGAGAATAATATATAATATTCCTTATATTGATATCCATGTCTACACAATCCAAAACAATGCCGTTGATTGATCTCAAAGTATACATTCGCATCGTCGCTGCGGTATTTTCGGTATGTATTACTTTACAAAATCATTTAGACGAAGCCATTTCTGTCTACTTAATTTTAAATAAGACATTTTTTGTTTTATCTATCTACCGTCATGTTTACAATTCTTTGATAATAAAAATAGGAATCGAAACAGTAATATTTTTATTAAAATGTGAATGTTAAATATCTTAGTGAAAAATATACCTTTTATTGTGTATCTGTAAGAGCATATTATTCGAGAACGCCTGGTAGATTAGTTTAGATAAAATATGTTTTAATTTTTACCATAAAATATATATGGTTTCTTATCTTACCTTCCTAAAGTAATAAATTTTAAAAATTATCTTTGAACAAATGTGAAAGTATTGGCTTCTCTGTAAACATATTATTGTCCTTATCCCACGTACTGTTTACTTAAATACATATTTAATTACAGATATCATCAGCAACTGCTATTGTCATGACTTTGTTGCGCCTTCTAAATCCTCATTTGTATTATTTAGATGCATTAAACAACAGGGATATGGGTAAGCTATTCTTTATTATTATTTATATTTTATGTAGTAAAATAATTAATTTTAACTAATTGTTTTTCTAACTACTTGCAACAGCCGGCCACTTTACTAATGTGCAAATTGGACACAGTAAAGTAATGGATTACAGGAGTATGACCTTTCAAAATATCATTTGTTTTTTATTAACATAAAGTCCATTGCCTTCATATTGTCATAAACTAATGGAGCTTTAATTGCATTTGGCAATATTCATAAGTTAATAATATTTGCTAATATAATAATAAGGGATATTTTATCATCAACACAAAGTTTTCTGGTATTTAGTTAGTACATAAAATCATACCTTAGCATATGCATAAAGCATTTCATGAAACCCCATATAATTGGGAAACATAATTTAAGAAACATGGCTAATCAAGAACTATTTTAAATACTCTTCATAAATACAATAATCACTAGAGTTGGTAACTTCACTTACCATTTTTTCTATTATACTTATATAGGTATATACTATTTAAATAAAATTTATGTAATTTCAGCTATACACTATTTTGTCAGTGGTCTCATGCTTGTAACAAGTACTATTGGATTTCTAAACAGCCTCATAGTCATGAATCGCAGTGCTACGAATAACACAGGTCGGAATATAACAATATGGCTGTTGCTGGATTCCCTGTTTGAGACATCTCGAGTTGTGTATGTGTTTCTCTGTGAAATTATACTGAAGGGACAGGGACCATTACAATTCTATGAACTGATGATTACTATCATACAATATCGTAAGTATTATTGTACTTTTAATTTCAGGATGATTGCGTAAGTCAACACAATTTTGTTTTTTTGATAATTTTTTATAGTTGGTGTGTTATTTTTCAATGTTAGATAAGTAAATGATAATTTATATCCTTATAGTAGTGAACCCCAACTTTTGTCGTAATATAATAGCGCTAAAGTAACTTTTCATCTAAACCTGCATCAATTTTTCTATGAATACTTTGTCAAATTTATGTTGGGAGTTACTGAGTACTGACAGCGTATTTTTATTATTTCAGTGCTGGACAGCTTTCTCTACTGCCAAATGATACTCAGGCACTAGTATTAGGCGTTACTTTTATTTTGCATTGTTATAAATTGTTAATCTTGTTGGGCAGAGCTAGTGACTAGATATTTACAAATCACAACCCAAACAGTGCTGTGAGGTGAAGTTCTTAAAACAACATTGTATATATGAAAAATTTAAAATCGTATTGCTTTTTGAAATCTCAGCTGATATGTTTGATGCGATAGTCATAAATGGTGTTATATAATTTAATCTCATGATAATATCTATTACCCCGGCTCTGTCCATTTTATTGTAGACATTCCTATGTGAGACTGTAATTTATGATCTCTAGTAATATTCAAATAAGTATTATTTCAAGTGATATTACATAGTGTTAGACACTTTTAAAGTTTATTTTTAAGACCTCTATACGCCTCAAAAGTTTAATGGTTTTTTTATGGATGTGTTTTCTTGATGATTAATTCCTTTTTTTTAAATTTAATTTTGTTGCCATATTAAGCATTTACTAGAGTTATGACGTTGGATTCGTGTCATGAGTTTAATTTGTAATATTTTTGTTTAAAATTTAGTATAGTTCAATTACATTGATTCTGTTAAAAAATATTAACCTATAAAGTTTAGATCTATTTTATTAAATACACAGTACCTGTTAAAAATTGTTATCTCTGTGGAATCTGCCGTATAATTTATAGTTCGAGATATTTTATTGTGATTAAAATATCGCAAGTTGCATTGATTGAGTTGTTTGCGTAATTTTATGTTATGGGCGATTGTTAAAATCAATAAAAAAGAGTTATGGCCTCTAAGTGCCCGTTTTATATTAATTTCTAAGTTTTATCAAATGATTTAAATAAAAAATAAGAACGAAATAATCTTTTATTGCAAAAGGGTTGATAAGAAGTCCTATTAATTGTTTCACAGACGGTTTTAATAATTAAACAGACAACCCTAACTTTGCGTACTTCAAGCTGAGCCAGCCGACTTCAGCCTCACGAAATAAATCTTCTGCTGTGTTCGTTAATGTGTTTTGAGTGTGGAGAAAGGATGTGCGTTGCCTCTGACCTGCCTTGCGATTCTGTAACTCACTTTTCGAACTCTCACTGCGATTTTCACAGCGGCGGTCGCGCTCAAATCAGTCGTGAAGCAGTCATTTTACGATTTGGCATTCTGATAAGGAGGGAGCTTGTAGTTTATTAGAGTTCGAAAAGTGAGTTACAGAATCGCAAGGCTGACCTCAGTGACTAAGGTGGAGTTGTATATAACCTTGGCGATCGTTATAACTTCGTTATTGCGATTCACATGATATTATTGATATGACATGATGATATGATGTCATCATCGCTGTGGGTCGCTAACCATAAAGAAAATTTTATTCTAATAGGCGGCGGAACCTGATATAAGGTAGGCCTACTGCCCGTTTGCCCTTTGGTCCCTAAAAAAACCAGTTCTTACCACACAAGAAAAATGCGATAAAATACTTTAAAAGGTAGCTGATTTAAAATAAAACGACATTGTATCAATAATCTTTTAATCAGTGAGTCGATCATCCAAAAATATACAGCAGTAACATAATATTTGAACATTGCTATTTCTATTAGGGTGGTTGGGAAAAGTAATGGTTTAAAACAAATTTTCATCGGAACTTTTCGGATATCAAACTGTAGACTTTCACGAGACAATTTTTTTTTTATTGAAAATAATATTCAATGTTTTTTACATACGAATCTGAAAATATATTTAAACCTACAAGTACCTCTTACGCTACGTTTTATTTTCTTTCTTCAGGACATAGATTACTATAAAATCACAATTTTCCTTAACAATTAATGTTTTTAAAATAGAAAAAATCTCGTGTTAATCTGCCAGTTTCCTTCTGATAATATTACCATGCTACTAAACAATTTTCAAAACAATGTGACCTGCTGCCGCCAAAGAAAATCTATAAACTTAACTTTTTTATATTAAGTTGTAAAAGCCGTTTCCGGTGCAAGTCACAGTAACAATGGTTTTACTCCAAGTCCCAAGATATCACGAAGATTCCGAATGAATTTTCGAAAGGGTTATTAAGGGTTAACTTAGCCCGACAATTTAAAGATCAACATAGCGAATCACATACAAAAAAATGAAATTTTTTGACTACCCTGTAAAAGTTATAGAAAAAATATTTTCATCGTAGGCCAATTTGTGTACGTTTTTATCAAATATTATGATCTCCGAACAGAAAAAGCTCATGGCACTAAACTTCAGCTAAAGAAAACATCATCTAAAATTATGTCTATCGCTCAAAGTACGAAAATACTATGAATTTACACTTAATGGCACTTCTAACTATCCTATTTATCGTATAATCTTGAAGGCGTGATGCGCGTTTGTACAAGCGGATTTGTAAGGGAAAAATACGCTAGTCTAAGCGTTCAAACTATTTTCGATAAAAAGTTATCTCTGTACAAACTCGTTTTAAACACTAATGTGTGTTAACTGCAATAAATTTTACAATAGATTCTGAATCTCACAACCCACTACTGAAGTCATATAATATATTATATAGGATAACGTCGATTGTACGAATGTTAAATCTTTCGTTACCCTATTGAGACGTTGAGATCCAAATAAAAGGAACTAATAACTAAAGAAACAACTGCAATGCAGAACAATTTTCGCCGATTCCTATGTTTTTTATATGAAAAATATCAAGATATGAACTGGACGTTGAACTGCACGATGAAGTCATTAGCTCTATCGGGCCAGAAATATATTGTCTCTTGTTATTCGTTGCAAAAAACCGTAAATTAAGCATTTCTATAAACCAGTTGGTTACCAATTAAACTGCGAAGTTTATACTCACAGACTCGTACTTTCATACGCGTATATATACGGCATACGCGTAATTTATAACGGTATATATACGCCCATAACCAATTAGTAAGTGATACACAGGAATCGGGAAAAACCGAGGCGTAAACTACAATATTGTCATGTATCTATAATATACTACAAAAACGTATATTTTCCTTTCTTCCGCAGGACGACTCTTCAAACTAGAAATAGAAAACGTATTCAGCGCGTTTATTATTGAACATGTCATCTAGTACTTTAAATACGATGAATGAAACTAGCATTTAGCAGAAAAAGGGCATTTGTCGTTGAAAATTTTCCATCTCTTTTCAAGTTGTTATCAGAGCCATCTAGCGGACAAAGGTTGACACTACGAGGATATGTTTCGGCGTCCTTATTCAAAATCTACTAAGTAACAACTTAACCTAAATTAATACTAAGGGCGAACCCTTTGAGACATAAAATGCATTTGCCGAAATATTTTGGCCTTAATTTTGAAAGGTACGAATGAGGAACGAAGATTTCTTCGCGTTTGGCACCTTCATGTAAAAAGCACCAATTTAGACCAATATAAGATAATCACCAATTCAATTAATTATAAAAATGATCGTTTTATATCAAAACTGATCATAATAATTGAAAATTAAACTTCCGAAGGGAAGCTTCACAGGAATAATCATAATTCATAACGTACCAACCGAAACATGCAAAATCTATAGATTGAAGATCTTATTCTATTTGCGATTACAGATAATTTTTAGTAGGGATCTTCATTCATTAGATTTCCGATTTCAGTTAGACAATGTGGGGAATAAGACGTCACTGAATGAATTTTCACGACATTCGGACAGTTTTAGGAGAATTTATTTCACATTTAGTATTGGTGTTTGAATTTATGTCTTCTACAGAAGTGAATACGACAAATCCTCAATGTAAAATGTAAAGTCTCGATCCGTTGGGTGTATGCACGCAGATATTCTGATCCCATGGGAAACTTCATTCAATGATGTCGTGTGTACAAAGTAAGCGGGGCTAGAAGTTCTGCTGACGTTTGCGTTTGAGGGATATCGCGTCTAATATGGGCCGACGTTTGCGGTCGTATAGGGCGTGAAGTCGCTCGATTTCGCCTTCCATTTCCACGTCCAGACGTGCTTGGAGCGTCTCCAATTCGCCCTCCGACAGGTACGATAACTACATGTGATATAGCCATAAGTAAGTCTGACTTGACAATGGAGTTAAAACTTAAAAGTAATCTAAAATGACACCAATGTTATGTTAAGCAAAAAGCAATGTGGTAAAATAAAATGAAAGACACTTATTAACTTCTAAGAACACTGTTTAATGAATTCTTTTAAATCCATATTGTTCATTTTTGAAAATGATGAACTGTTTTTAGAAACGGTATTCGAGCACGAGATACCATCTCGAGTGAAATGTCTGCCGCTATTATAGGGACCGTTCACGTATTACGTAAGCAGATTTACTGCAATTAATCCCCCCATTCCTCTTGTCAGCAAAAGTAAGCAATGCTCTCAATAATAAATGTACATAAACATATTAATTTTTTTTTTTAGTAGGAATCCTCGAAATTCGTTTTCAAGCATAGACAATGTGTGGGTAATATGTGTAAAAAAAGTAAATAATTACTGTTGACGTAATCACCAAATAAGAAATCAAAGACCCAACCCTTTAGTGAACGTAATAACTGAACGGCCCCACATCAGATATTTGTGCTTTGTTTTGAAAATAAAACGACAAACATCTAGTCCTTAATCATGTACAGTGGCAGAAGATATTGTAAAAGCGCTCCATGCTTTGCACCACAAATGAAATACTAATTTTAATATGTACAATAATATTTGCAATGGATTTTTTATAACACTGTATTAAGTAGACATGTTAGACATGTTTAAAAACTTGGTTTTTTGAATTTTTCACATAAATTTTGAGGTTATGTGAAAAATGTCTGAATACAAAAGTTTTAGATCTTTTTATTACCTACAACTTTGCCATTTAACTTTCTTCGATAGGACTTTTAGTTTTGCCGGAAATCGAGATAAACCGTTTTTTACCCTTAAAACTTCCCCCCTACCCCTTCCCGACCTCAGATCGCCCGTAATTTATGTTTCCTTTAATTTTTATAATATTCTCCTCCTTTTCCAATAGGTTTCATCCTACTATTATTTTTTTAGGTTTCAAAAATTATCGGCACTGGTCTATATAGCTATTGGTTGGACTAAGAACGTTTGATATTTGCATGGAAATGCCGTGGCTTGTTTTTAAAGTATGGATTTAATTAGTGACACTACATTACACATTAACACAAAGAATCTGATAAAGAGGAATCTAAAGGTGAAACTAAACATTGCTACCAAAAACATCTACAATATTTAATGTTAATTTGTTATGTTAATAGTTTTATGTTATACAATAATCGCATAGCATAGAATTCTAGTTTAAAAACAATTGAAATAAATTGAATTTTTTAAATATCATAAAAACTCACAGAAATATCTACACTTTGGCATTTTTTTTAAATTATATTTGGAATTATTGTACAACATAAATAACATAGATTATTACTCGCACGCCCCGTGCTGTGTTAGATATTAATAAATCATATTATAATATACAATATGTTATACATAAATAATAAGGGAATTGATGCACAATGTTGTCATTCTAATAAAAAATCAATCTTATTTTAGAGACCAAACATATACAAAAACCTTCATTATAACTAAAAAATTGACACTGAATATAAAATTTCTACTTTTTCAATACAAGAAAACCATATAAAGGCCATGGGCGGTATCTATAATTAATTTTTAACATGGTTTAGAATTAATAATTCTATCTTTTTCATACTAAATAATAAATAAACAAATATACTATGTATGTTGAGTACTGTACGCGAATGAACGCACGTGCACGTAGTCAAAAAAGTTCTATTGTCCATTGATAAGATCTTGCCTTGAAAATATATATATTATATATGTCATGTTAAAGAAATCATTGTATTGTGGTTATTATTTATGACTGCTTGCTATTCATCATGAAGCCTTTATAATGCGAGCTTTTTTACTTTTGTTGAAGAATTAAAAATGAAAAAGCTTATTCGACCTTCCGAAGTTGAATAAACTGTTGTTCTAGATAACGTTATCGATTTTTTGAAGTTATACTTCTTTAGGCGCGTTATGAAAAATTTATGAGAGTGAAATTTTACGATGCGCGCGCACCTGTGACACAAAATTGGGAGTGTGAGCATAGCGTGCGCGAGCGAGATAGGAATAAGACAACCTACAAGTAAAAAGAAATAGAATATGCGTGAAGTTCGTATGCCAAGAATTTTGAATGACCATAATGACATTTGTCATTTACCTTTTAAACAAATAAAGGAGTTTTGATTATTTTTTCAAAGAAATTTATTAATTTTATATTGTGCAATACTGCCAAAGCAACAACATACTTCTTAGTGTTTGGTAGAGATGTTCTAAATATGTATATCTTATATATAAAATTCTCGTGTCACAATGTTAGTCTGCATACTCCTCCGAAACGGCTTGACCGATTCCTCTGAAATTTGGTAAGCATATTGGGTAGGTCTGAGAATCGGCTAACATCTATTTTTCACACCCCTAAATAATAAGGGTGGTCCACCCCTCAATTTTTTTTTTTCATTTTTTTGACAAATTTTTATTTTTTATTTTTTTATGATACGATATTCAAAAATACATACAACCCTAAGTTTTTGCCCTTCTATCACCAACCCCTATTTTTTATTATAAATGATATACGAGTACATGGCAAAACGACGTTTGCCGGATCAGCTAGTAATAATATATAATTTTAACTAAATATAATTTATACACTTAATGTAAGAGAATAATAATAAATAATTACATATTTATTTAATTTTTCAAATGTAAACTGAACTTAATTGACTATAATGACTCCTTTTCCAGTCTTTGATTATTTAATTGTAATTAATTATTTGCATGCAATCAAAAACTATTTTTAATAATGCCAAAGAAGTATAACTTCTTACGCGCGTACATAAGTACACGCACCCTTTTTTTTTTAAATAATGTGTTTACTATATTTGTATTTATTGTGATTGTATTTTTGTGTATGTGTGTGTAAACTCACGGGGCGCGCGAAGAGGCAATAGAGTGACGACGTGGAGTTGACTTACGAATTCGAAGTTCCCAGATTCGATTAATGCCCCCACACTTGCCGCGCCACACACTTCTGCCACCTGCGTACTGCGAAGAGATAGAAAGAGTTTACACTGTAATTTGTAATGGTGTGTAGCGAAACCTATATTCTACGGCTTTAATCACTGTGATGACGTATATCCTGAAACGCGGTAACGAAGTATTTCCCACTAAGCATATATACAACTCCTCAACAGGATTCTCGACCAAGGCTAAGGCATCCTTTCTTTAAGTTGGGAGGAAGAGCAGACCTCTTTGAGGTGAAATAATTTTCGGTAGGTCCAGGGTTTTCAAGTTAATTCGTTACAAACATATTATATTACTAGCTTTACCCTGCCACGCTTCGCTGTGGCACGAGTGTTTTCCTCGCTGCCGGCAGATGGCGCGGATCGTTAAAAAAAACAGTTTTTTCGCGGTTTCGGATAGAATGCAAAAAATTGATAAAAACAATCCTTGATGCGGATTATATATCATGCTAAAGTTTCAGCTCGGTCGGTGCAGAACTTTTTGAGTTTTTGAAGCATACACAAACCAATATAACCTGTATATAGTTATATAATACATATATTTAGATTAGTATATAACAGTTATTACCTAATGGTATCAGCTTCGGGCAGTCGTACATGTGCGGTTAGCGTCCCATTGGGTGCGGCCATGTTGAGGTGATTGACCTCCTTCTTCTCAAAGTGCTCGAGAAATAATGGCCGATATTTCGGCTTATTCGTGTCCATTGGGTCGGTATCATGGCCTGAAATATGTTTATATGAAACGGAACAATTAAAAATACACTTTTAAGACTACAAAACCCTTTCTATGAGCTGTAAATCAGATTAATTGGACATCTAAATCATTCGGATCAGTTCAGGGTCGAAAGATGTGTTTTTTTAATAAAAAAAACACGTGCATTGTGAAACTGTATGATTTTTAATCGGTTTAAAATGTCAATTTTTCCTTCTACAGTTATAAATTATAGAAATTTTATATTTTACTATCTATCTGTTCACACATGAGATAATATATAAGGAGTTGTTAACGTAATGGCTAGGTGTGCGACTCTTATCCCTGAGGTCATAGTTTCGAACCACGGCTGTGCAACAATAGACTTTTCTATGTTAGACTCGTACATAGTAGAAGTCGCGACCGAATCAAGAAATTCCGTAACTAAACCTAACACACGATGACGTAATATAGGTACGGCCAATACGCTATAAAGCGGGACAGAACGCATACTGCGTCTCACATCGGCCAAGCGTGATCAGTGACGTAGCGTAAGCGCGGTCGGTGCAGCCGGTACGCGTTAGAGTGAGACAGACTATATAGGCGTGTTAGTCTGAGTCTGGTAGAGTGGTAGATTGAATCAAAGAAAAAAATACTGCATAAATGATTTTTTTTTATAAATAATTATGATTGCATAAGTTGATAGAAAATGCTATGCAATAGCTTTACCCACGTTTTTTTTAATAATAATTCCTTTCTCTTAATAAGCAGTAACGCCATCTATTGGTGACTTACGTTTCATAGTGGCCAGGTCCTGCTCATTGATGACCATAGTGGCCAAGCCAGCTGCGAGCTCGGTGGTGCCATCTCTCGCGGGAACCAATGTCCCACTCGCCTGCTTCATCGTGTCCGAGTTGTACGAAGCGCCGCCTGCGCAGCCACTCTGCGATTTCAAATAATAAATTAAATAAGTGTACATTTTTTAAAATCTATTTTCTTACATAACTATCATATTACATATCACCAAAAATGGACATTATTTTGCAAATTTATTTGACTAGAACGTGTGCTATTTGGCTCTATTTAGAGATTTCATAATGTATATATATAAAAATGAAACCCGTTTTCCGTTGTCACGGCATAACATGAAAACGGCTTGACCGATTTGTCTGATTCTTTTTTTATAATATTCCTTGAAGTACGAGGATGGTTCTTACAGAGAGAAAAATAAAAAAAATTGAGTGAAAAAGTCTAAAAACAACACTTTTCTATATTCCCATACAAAATATTCGTAATAATATTTGGGCAATTGAAACGCAATTTGCAAGGCAATTCGAACTTTAATACCATATAATAAAGTTCAAATGTTAGTGGAGGGGTTCCGGGAAGGTAAATTTTTATTTTTTGACATAATGTATTTGTTGTCTTATCAACTTTTTTTTTATCTTACTAGCTAGACCGGTGTCCCGAATAGCAGAATAAGTATTTAAAAAAAATAAAGAATCGACTGTTAGGCGGTACGATGTTCGCCAGGCCAGCTAGTAATACATTAAAATTACCTCACCATTACCATTGAACATTAAAATTTTAGATAGATAGATAGCCGAACAGGCGTAGACAAAAATGTCATAATGATGATATGTATGGTAGAATAAGGTATAAATAGATGTGTCAGCTATAATGACAAATTTGTCATTAAACCAATTATAACTGTTTGACATACAATATTTTAGAGAATTTGGTCAAATTTAATTAAATGTCACCTCACTAAATTATAGTAATTTAAAGAATTTTCTTGTGATTATTGGTCTAGATCTATATTACGGTTCACGGTTCAATCGCGGTTGGACAATATTTGGATTCAGCCAGAAGTTAACTATTAAGGATAATATAAACATTTTTATTGAATAATATTTTACTATTTGGTGCTGCTCCCCTACTTGTTTTAATCTTTCAACATTTATGGATGCTTATGATAAATTTTAAAGGAATTATAAAACTAAATGATTTTAATAAAATTACCAAAAAATCTTTTGCCATCCATTAAACGTTTCTTCTTCTTCTTGTTTAAGTTCTTCAAATCACAGTTTACATATCAAATACCAATTTATGAAGCGTGGGGGGGAGGGTTGAATATATAATTTGGTCTCCGGCGAAAAGTCAAAAAACAATTACAGATACCGGCAAAGATCTTGACACAATGTCATTGTCTGAAGCAATTTTTAGGTATCACTGGAAGGGGCGGCGGGAGAGTGACGTGTCGATCGCGAGATTGGTAAATCAGTTGATGTATCGCGCTGCGCAAATGCCTTGTTTAATGTTCAAGATGTTTGCCGGTATCTGTAAGTAAGCTGGGAATGGGACCTTGTTGTTAATGGTCCTTCCGTCCACTATATTTCATAAGACTTATACATACGGCCGCAAATGTCTTGGCATTGGAGGCATTCATGGCGGTCCTGTAAGCTTGACTCTCTCGGATTTCGTTCGCTTCCGCTATCATCAGACTCAGAATGTGAGGCTGTTTGGCGTTACCTGGAAAATATCAAATTTAAAGCGAGATTTTTTAGCTCTGGGCCTCAGATTTCTGTTTTGGTGACCTCTCTTAATAGGCAAGTAGGTGATCAGCCTCCTGTGCCTGACACACGTGGCTATACCCATACCTACGATGTTTTCCTTCATCGAACGAGTTTTTTTTTTAATAGAATCTCGCTGTTGGCCTTAAGGTCATAATATATGGTCGCCTAACTACAAAAAAGTACATTGTTTCCTTCCATTTTTCGTCATCATTTCTTGAAGTAGGGCGAATTAAAAAAATATATGGTTGGGCTGAGTTATGTATCCATTTTGAAAGATCGATAGACGATTTAAATAACTTCGCTTAATATAAAAAAATCCAAGCATAGCCAAATTTTGACACTTTGAATTCATTTTATGACGAAAATGTATATAGAACATGATTTTGAAATTTACACGATATATTTTATCGCAAGCCAAGTAATCCATTTCAGAAAAAAAAATGATAAAATTACATTAATTTAACGTTTTACATAACTAATTGTTATTACGGGCCGGCGCGCCTCAGAGCTCCAGCTCTCCACTGCGCCCCGCAATCCACCCAAAGACACTGACACAGCAATTCGTGCTGGGATAGGGCCTTAACTCTTAAGGGTCGGCCTGAATGGGCATTTTTCCCACGACTAGCGCAAGGGCGTCTCCTTCGAGACTCGAACCTCGGCTTGGGCCGTCGCGGGGTGGTCAATCGCCTGAAGGGCAGGACGGAAGCTCACTGGAGTGAGCAAATCTGATTTTGACTTGGAACGAGTAAAGACAAGAAATTTATACGCGCACAGCCAATATGAACCTACGACCTCAGGGATGAATCACACGCTGAAATCCAACACTACCCAACAATAATAATCAACTTTTAAATAAGAAAACAGATCTTTTTGTATAAACAAAACTTACCTATGAACTCATGTGTCAATAGGAATTCTGCCGTGGCTCTATCTTCGGGGTTCTTGATGAGGCACTGACTTACGAAGTCTATGAACTCAGGGGACCACTTGTCTGGCTCTCTGTAATAAAATATCTAGTCTATCTAGAAATATCTTCAATATATTAAAAAATTCAAAAGTTAGAGCTTTTTGATATTGTCTTCTATAAAATTGTAATACTTCACTTTGCTCTATTGTCTATAGTTTCCGCAGTGTACGCTCGATAGGCATTTTTATAGTATAGTGTATCAATTTTTTTATACAAGTTAAAAAAAAATCAAGTCTTTATTCGTCAGCTATTGGTGAAATAATTTTTGAAATCGGTCGATAGTTTTGGAGCCTATTCAATGCAAGCAAATTATCAAATATTTCCTCATAATATTAGTGTAGACAAAAACAGTGGGGTTACAACTCTTGGTCTTGGTCTCAGACTTTTTTATGACTTTTGGATGTCAGATCCACTTTTGACTAAAGCACTTTATAAAGGTTCATTGCAACTATGTGAGTGTTACACGCACACAAATGCGTATTGAAAAGATAAAAAAAAAACATTTTTGAAGTGAAACTTCTTTATCGGGGTTGGAAAAAAATTTAGTGTAACATTTTTGCGTTACGCGTCACATTTTTCCGTTACGCGCCATGTTGCTTTTTGAAGTCAAACTTCTTTATCGGCGTTAAAATATGACATATAGTATGTGTTTGACTTGGAAGTTTGACAACGGATTACATTTTCGACTTGAAATTTGCTAATCGCAATTTGCAGCAATTAATTTGTAAATTGTATGCTAGGCAGTGTATCAAAATTTGCTGTGTTTAAAGAAATAGTTTCTAATAAGGTCATAAAGAAGTTTCACTTCTTACGTGTGTACACCTAGTACACGCACACATTTTTTTGTATTTAATCTATTCCTTGCGTTTGTGTGTGTATATAAGCAAAATATGTAGTCTTTTATATTGAAGTGTTCATAAAAATTTATTTGAAAATTCACCTGAATGATGGCGGAGGTTTGGTTGGTATCATAAAAATAGCCCTCATCGGATGAATATCTCCGTACGGCGGTTTCCCTTCGGCCATTTCCAGTGCGGTGATTCCCAAAGACCAGATATCAGCCACGCAGTCATATCCGATCTCCTGTATCACTTCCGGTGCCATCCAAAATGGCGTACCAATTACTGTGTTGCGTTTCGCCATTGTATCCTGAAGTTAAAAAAATAAATTGAATTTGGCTGGTATTAAACATTATAAAACCATTTCACAAATCGAGTAAAAATTCTAGAAACTCTTAAAGAAACTTTTCATGTATTAAAATCGAATTATTGAAGTTATAGTTCTTTTGGCGCGTTAGGGAAAAATGATGAGAGTAAATTTTTACGATCACAAAAAATCCGACACCCTGAAGTTAGCTATAGTCAACACCTACAACCTTGTTCTATTGTTAGTTTTTCTACATACGTAGAATACAACTTTTGGATATTTTTATCTTGTTACGCCAAAGAAGTATAACTTCTAACGCGTGTACGTAACACGTTTTTGTATGTGTTTTGTCTGCTTGTTACTTCATTAATATGATATTGTTTCAATATGTCAAGTGAAGTTCATTAAAAATGGTTAATGTAAATTTAGATCTCCTTTTTTTAATATTGCCGTTCATAAATTTACAATTACCAATAAGAATAAATAGATGATTTGACTTACCGTCAATTGTCCAGCCACGCCAAAATCAGCCAATTTAGCGTGACCCTCCATGTTGAGTAAAATGTTCCCCGCCTTGATATCTCGATGGATCTTTCTTCGACGGTGAAGATACTCAAGACCTTTCAACGTATCACACAAAATGGTCGCAATTTCGTCCTCTGATAGTGTTTTCTTCCGTAACCTCATAATATCCGAAACAGAGCCGGCACCGCAGTATTCCATAACAATCTGGAAGTATTTTAATAATAATTTTCAACATAATATACCGTATAAGCTCATGAATTAAACGATTAAAGCCAGTTGACACCCAGCTTCAAACAAATATTCAAAAGTTCATTTAACATAATATGTATATGTATTTGAAAATATCTACAACAACCGCCACCGAAATGAACTCGTGATTAGATAGTTTTACAATTTGAGGGTAGACGAAAACATAATGAATGTCTAGGAATTTAACACCTACCCATAAATCCGTGTTTTTGAAGTAACTGCCATAGTACTTGACTACGTAGGGGCTGTCGCATTGCTGCATAATAGAGATCTCCTTGATGATCTCCTGCAGGTCCGTGTCCACCGGCACCTGCTTGATAGCAAGCACCTGCTCGCTCTCCTTGTGTAACGCCTGGAAATGAACACGTTTAAATTTATTTTAAAATAAACTTTTATCTTTTTCCTGTGTGTTCTGTGTTCTCACCGCTAATGGCTTCGCCCAATCATCTCTTCAATTTATTAGCTTCACCTGTATGTATGTATGTAACCGACTCCTTCGGACTCGATTTTGACCCACTTTTAACGGACAGATTTAATTCAAACTTTGCGCACCTGTCAAAGATCGATGACAATGCAATAATCCGAAAAAAAATTAAACTAAAAATAAAAAATCGATCGATCGAGTTGCTCGATAGACGAATATGGCACAGAGCGTCCCACGCTTTTTCACAATAATACCAGTATTTTTTGTTCATTACCATTTCAGCCTAAATTAGGAATTATTTTTCACTTTTTAGTTTGATGTGCTTTAAAAGCGTGTTTTTTTAGTTTTTTTAAATATTATTTATTTTTTTAATTTATGCAGTATTTATGATATTTTTACAAAGTGTCAAATCAACTTGATTTTTCTTAATAAAAATAATTAATAGACTTGTGAATAGAACTAGAACATGTTACGGGTAAACGTTACAGTGCGTTACATGGGCAGGAGGGAGATTATTTAAACAACGCGTTACGTAACATTTTTTATTTTAATTAAAATACTGGGGGATTAATTGGCAACCCTTTTCGTTTATGTTGTACGGGGAATCCCTTAATTGTATTGTACGTTACTTTTATTTTTGCGTACGTACAGAAAAACGTGGTGCGTTACATGGGGGGGAGGGAGCATCTAAAATGTTTAAAAATTGCGTTACGTAATACTTGAACGGTCCCTAATTAGAAGAATGTTTTGTCACGATTATTCATATTGTGTCAACTGACGCGAGAGTATAATAATGATAAAATATTAAGACGGAGCTTCAAAACAGATAATATATAAATAAATCATTTTAAAAGTGGTAGATTTAGATCGACTAATTATATAAATCCGCACAATCAACCATATAAAATGGGCATGCAAATGTTATATTAATTTTCATAATATCATATAATAAGAACACTAACATAACGTCATAATAATAAGTTGAGTAATTCATGATTGTTATCAAACTTTATTAGCAGTGTTGGCCTAGCGGCTTCAGCGTGTGAATCTCATCCCTGACGTCGTAGGTTCGATCCCCGGCTGTGCACTAATGGACTTTCTATGTGCGCATTTAACATTTGCTCGAACGGTGAAGGAAAACATCGTGAGGAAACCAACACGTCTTAGCCCCAAAAAGTCGACGGCGTGTGTCAGGCACTGGAGGCCGATTACCTACTTGCCTATTAGATTGAAAAATGATCATGAAACAGATTCAGAAATCTGAGAACCAGACCTAAAGAGGATGTAGCGCCACTGATTTTTTTTATCCCCCTTCTTCTTCTTCCCCTTGAAATCATTACACGGCAGTGATCTATAAGTTGTAAATATTTGCGTGAACATTTACTAAGTAGATGCTAAGCAACAGTTTAAATTTTAGCCTTGAATATATAAAGACAATTTTACTTATTTGTGAGCCAATTTCATTCCGAATCTAAATAATTTTGTAGGAGAAATTATGGTCACGTAAAATCTGTCATGACAACGTTAATTACTAAGTGCGGATTACCGCAGTGTCTCAGCCGTCTGAAGCCATAATCCATTAGACAGAAGTAACATTATAGATTATTGACTAACGCAACGACCTGATTTACCTTTATATGATGCATGTCATTCTTGAGGTGGCATCGTAACGATATTAACTGTAATCTAGGTTTTGCAATCAGGGCGTAAATTGATAGACTGCGGGTTTATTTTATCTTAAAATATTAAGTAATTTAAAAAAAAACGGTGGTCAAGTGTTATTCGGAAATTTAAAGAATAAGATATTTAAATCACTATTACCTAACGGTATTGATAGAATTACTATTTTAGAAATCGATTTTCCTTTACTTTTTAAATTTCAATTCAATTTTGTTTTTATCTTTTCATGTATGTTATGTATATTGTTTATAGATATATATATATATATATATATATATATATATATATATATATATCTATATATATATAATATAATATAAATAATCAAATTTTTTGTACTAATGTATCAGTGTGCCTATAGTGTAATGTATGTTGGCAAGCTTTTATAAATAAATAAATATAGCTACTTTAACCCCAAATTTGTTTAAAAATTCTCTTATTTCCAATCTATATTTTAGTATGTTGACGTTTCGTTGTAATAATCGTCATTTATTTAAGCAAACATCGACACCCATCGCATAAAAAACAACACATTATTTCCACCACAGAATAAATAATTATTTAGGTTATTAAACTTTCGAATTGTCAATAAAAGGCATTATCAATAACGTTGAAATTTAACCCGAGTCATAAATAGTGGTAAAAGAGTACGGGGAACCGGTTATACAAAATTCTCGGAAAGGTAAAACGTACGTGGAGTGGTAGTCATCAGTATATTTTGTTTTCTAAGGGCTGTGGTGTAGGGATGATCGATATTAAAAAAACATCGATATTGACATCGATGTCATAAACGAAAGCCCAACATCGATGTTCGATATTTATCCAAAACCGAACATCGATGATTTTTGTATAATATGTAATTGAAAAAGAAATAAAATATAGTGAAATGGTTCGAAACTTATTAAGAAACAGAACAAATTATTACATGACCGCATGAAAAGTAATTTTGATAAAGAAGAACATCGGGCCAAGTTGGGCGGTTATGAGACGTTTTTTTTAGTAATGTGTCCATACCTTGTAAACGCTGCCATAGGACCCTTCTCCGAGCTTGCAAATAATATCGAAGACTTCTTCTGGCTGTCGAGTGAGACTCTCCTCCGATAGCTTTTTTAACTCACTGAAAAGAGAGAAATAATTTTATTTTCAGGCTCTTGACACATTTTTGTGTCTGATTCAATAAAGGAACCATTGATGCACAGTCAGGGTTCAAACGCAGAACTTTAGGATTAGAAATCGTACGTCTAACTAACGCCCCGTTTCTATTTTCAAAATATCAATCGTAAATGCTACGATTCGTATACCTTGAGATTGGATTTGCCACATGCGTTTTCTTAATCATCTACGCCTCATAGCCATTACGACTAGTATTTATATAGAACCCGAGCGTATTGCATCGACCTAATTTTGGCTAGAACATTTCTTTAAACAAAATTAAATTGGACTAAAAATTTAGCGTCAATATTCCTTAAGTCGTAAATCGTCTAATAAATTAATTCGACTACTCCACGGTCGTTAGAAGCAGGATATGATAATAAACATTTATCTCTTTCCGCCATGATACTAGACGGCATGACGCGAACTTCCAAGTTACTTGTTCATCGCCTACTGGGACCAGTTGCATTCATAGATATAATTCACGAACTGCCTTCCGCTAGCAGTCTCCAATTCTGCTTATGGTTTGCTAAAACGTTTCCAATTTCAGCACCAGTACTGCATTTGCGACAGGTTTGGAAAGACTGCAGGACGTAGGTTACTGCAGTTATTTTTAATCTTTATTAAAATGATGAGTGGCGGAAAGTTTCTTGCCAGTTTTTCTTGCCCGCTCTACGCCCTTGACTTGCGAAGTGGTAGTAAATGTAAATTTACAATTAATTAACCTTTTTTTTGACGTTCATAAGTGTACTTGTTTACCTATATGAATAAAGGTATTTTGAGTTTGAGATTGAGTTTGAATTGCTGATTGTTAGTCTCGGTAAAACTCGAACGGCTGGATCGATTTGGTTATTTGTGAAAGTCAAGAGAAGGTTTAAACAGTGGGAAACATAAATAACAAGTAAAGAAAAATTCTTAAAAACAACTTTTGTATGCTTTTGGGTGCCGCCCTGGATGGTTTAGATTCACAAATCAGCCCGGCATATAGCGCTGCAGTCGGTACTTTCATACTTTGTTTAATATCCTAATCGCTTGGATTATCATGCAGGACAAAGTATGTCGGGTCCGCTAGTAGTAGGTAATATAATAGTATTGTCTTTGATTAACATAACCTTTACACATTTAAAGAAAAACGCTTTTTACCGGATTAAAGTTATGTTTATTATTATAAATTTACAACTATTTGACATAATTTTAAATTTATCCGACGTTTCGCGTGCTTTACAGCGTGCGTGGTCACGGTGACCGTGTAAATTTATATAGTTGTAAATTTATAATAATAAACATAACTTTAATCCGGTAAAAAGCGTTTTTCTTTAAAGGTAATATAATTACAAGTATGTAAGTCTCAGTATTATTATTTGGCTTCTTGATACTAATCTTTGATTACTAATCACAGTTAAATAGATTATAATTATGGAGCTTTTCAACTCTTTACTTTCCGCGTGAGTTCTGGACTAAGCCAAAAGGCTTTGTACCCTGAATCATAAATCATATCTCAGAACGAGACTGTCGTCCAGCAACTCACGAAATAATTTACGTTTTAATATTATAAGCATAACTTTTCGATACATCTGATTTAAAAAAAAACTATGAACAAACCAAGATTAAGCTATTGGTGAATAGTATTTTTTATTTCTTCTTCATAATATTAATATTGTATTATGAATATAACTCGATATTAAAATAAAATAAATCAGTGGCGCTTCAATTTTATTAGGTGTTTCATGATCATTTGTTAATCTAATAGGCAAGTAGCCTCCTGTGCCAGTCACACGTCGTCGACTTTTTGGGTCTAAGGCAAGCAAGCAGGTTTCCTCACGATGTTTTAATTCGTTCCAGCGAAAGTTAAATGCGCACATAGACCGAAAAGCCCATTGGTGCACAGCCGGGGATCGAAACTATGACCTCAGGGATGAGAAACGCACGCCGAAGCCACAAGGCCAACACTGCTTATAACTCGATATTACATATACATTACGAAAAATTCTGGTATTATACTGTATACATTCAAAAGTCGAAATAGTAGGTATTTAAAAACGAATTCTGCTGATTAGTTTAGCCAACTTATTTCAGAATATACCAGTATTTTATCTTCGATGACGCATACATTCAGATATTATTACCCATAACTGTAATATAGCCGGGTTCATGTGAATTTTATATAATGGCATTGCGTGAGAAAAAAGAATTGAATACAATTGAAAGACGTTCTGATTTTTAAGTTAAACAAATTCTAAAATTTTTGCTAATGGACACTTCACTAAAATCTTACATGTAGAAACAAACAAAAATGAACTTATTAAGAGAATTAAGAGGCAAATATAGGATTATTTATTCAACTATAACTAACTAAGAAAATACTTAAAATATCTATCAAAGTGACCGAGTTATTTATTAATTATTTGCTCACATTATTGTAATACTGTAACGCGTTATTCCAGAGGACCTATAAATTTTAACATCGATTCTATAAATAGAGATATAATAGATATATATATATATATATATATATAATAGAGCAGTGTTGGCCTAGTGGCTTCGGCGTGCGACTCTCATCCCTGAGGTCGTAGGTTTCATCCCCGGCTGTGCACCAATGGACTTTCTTTCTATGTGCGCATTTAACATTCGCTTGAAAACATCGGGAGGAAACTGGCTTGCCTTAGACCCAAAAAGTCGACGGCGTGCGTCAGGCACAGGAGGCTGATCACCTACTTGTCTACCTATTATATCACCAAATGATCATGAAACAGATACAGAAATCTGAGGCCCAGACCTAAAAAGGTTGTATTGATTTTTTTTTTCTATAAATAGTATCGGCATTACAAAAAACAATTATGTACCTATATGTGTTTGGGATTGTGCGCTAAACGTGAACGCGAACGTTCTCGGAAACTAAAAACCATATCGTAATAATCCTTTTTAATTTAAATATCAGTCCTAACAAAGTCTATCAATTTCGTATTTTTGTAAGCGACATTTATCAAAGTACCTAGTTAAAGGCACTTTTTGTAACTATGTGGAACCAGCTGCCCACTTAAGTATTTCCGATCAAATTCGACATAGGGTATTTCAAGATAAGAGCGTACCAATTCCTAAAAGGCCGGCAACGTGACGTGAACTTTTGGCAGTGAGACCACGGACGGCGGTATCACTTACCATAAGGCCTTTGCCGTTTGCTGCTTATTTTATAAAAAAAACAAATTATTGATAGGTAAATATGGCTTATTATCTTATACGTCAGCGGAAACATATTTAAAAATAGAATAAATTTAATGTTTGTGAGTATAAAGGGCGCTTGATTATTGGTTATCATTCCATGGGGTTTGTTAACCACGCGTATATGAACCAATAGGTCAATGACCCGTGAATCATTCCGTTGACATTGTTTTGGACGTTGCTATGCTCAACTTGGAAGTGTATGCCTTAAAACAAAACACATTCACAAAGTTCCGTATCCAATAAGGTATAGCCACACGTGTCATTAGTATTTTTTTCTTACATAGGGATATTTATTTATTTATTTATTTATGCACCAACAAAGTAAACACTAATACAAGCAATGTAACACAAACACAAGCCAAGTGCTACCCCAATTATAGGCGCATACAACATTCTAAATTTTTATAAACACATTAAAAGAAGAAAAAATAAAGTCAAGATAAAATAAAATAAAAACATTACAAAATTAATTGAATTAATTGAATAACCCCCATAAAGTCTTAATGAGTAATCAGCTGAGCCGCTAACTTTTTGAAAATTGATGGGGAGTTTGAAAACAGATCTATTTGGGGGAATTCACGACCCCCCCATTGCGATCCAACACCACCATCAATTTCAACGCTATGAATTAAATTATAACTCCTTAAAGATCTATTTAATGGAGCATTCTAACCCAGATTTGATTTTTCCAAACTTAATTCTGAAAGGAGGCTTTGCAAATCGTTGCAGCTTTTTAGGAACAGAAATGTTTACTCTGGACAAGATATCAGGGGTATCCAAAATTCCATTTATAAGTTTATACAGAAACATGATATCAAGCAGCTCTCTACGATGACGAAGTGATTTAAGGTGAAAATGTAATAGACGATCGTTATAACTAGGAAGTTTCCTAGCCATGTTGCAACCATAGGATAGGTGCCATAAAAATCGCTTCTGTACATTCTCTAAGCGCTTGATATAGATACCGTAATGCGGATTCCACACAGTTTCCACACATATTTAAGTCTAAATACACAGGAATAGTCTTAAACTACCTAGTAAAGAGTACGTATCAATAGATAACTAATTCCTGGAGGTCCTTATGGCTTGATTCCAATATCTCAACTACTTAACTACAAAAAGACACTTATCTATTACGAGTCAAAAATTCGTATTAGATAAGTGCCTTAAAAAAACCTAAGTCAATAATTAGGTATATGTTTCACAGAGTAACCCTGCAGGTTAATACAGCTGTTCTCATTAACTGCGGTTAACAGTAAACACTACGTGACCTGATTTCGTGTCGTGTCACAATAAACCTTACTAAATTAAATATTTTTACACATCACTTGACAGTTGACACATTTGCAAAGTTCAAAACGCGTAAATCAAAATATGCTAAACATTTATTCGGCTACTAGCGAGCTAGTGGAGGTCTTCAATGGGAGATAGGTCTAATTATTTAAAAAGAGAGCTTACTCTTCCCTCAAAGGCCGGCAACGCACCCTCTAAAATGGGTGACCATGGTTTTCTTAACGAAATCTCGCTGTTGGCCTTAATGGCCTTTACAGCTTAGCTCAGGCTGTTCTGGCGACTAGCTCAAGGGCGTCTCCTGCGAGACTCGGACCTCGGCTTGGGCCGTCGCGGGGTGGTCAATCGCCTGAAGGGCAAGACGGTCGCTCACTGGAGTGAGCGAAGTGCGAAGTAAAGGTCCATGCCTTCCCCGGTAAAGGTTGTCTTGTACCCTTATCTGATTTTTATTTT